AAGAAAAGAAAAGAAAAGAAAAGAAAAGAAAAAAAAAAAAAAGAAAAGAAAAACCAATGCACAACCCCCCCCCCCTTATATCTATCTTGTAAGATGGGTAGAGAAATAAGTAGAAATGGGTCATATAGCATATTGTACTAGAAGCAACTCAATCCTTTTTATGGTTATAGTTTGAAGGGAAGCACCACACTATTCATAAACTGAAATCCCTGCGGAAGATGTCTGGAAGGCAGGTTAAAAATGTAGATAGTGCCTGCACAACCAGAACCTTGCACATAAATCAGTTTGTTAACAAAATTCTTTTTGTTTTGATATGCATATGCGGGTGTGGGTAGGTCTTTGTATAGGCTTGTGTTTTGTCCAGTTTGAAAACCATGGAATTTTTAGGATACCTAGTTAGCAGACAAAAGAGGTGAAGTTTGGTTTCCCACCTGTAGCTGGGTTTTCTGCACCTGTTTGTTTAAATATTTGCCTTTTTATTTTATTGTTATATTTCACATTTGTGCAGAAAGGAGGAAACTCACTGATTTGGCCAAGATGTCAGAGATGGCAGCATGTTGGTGCATGATGGTTGCTTATTGGACAATGAGAAAAAGTTGCCCTTCCTCATTCAGTTGATTGTTACTCCCATCACAGTGCCAAGGTGAACACAGTGTCAGATTAGTCCTCCTGCCTGAAGTTAGCCAGTGACTGCCAACCTAACGTAGTGTGTACTACGTTTTACCATTGAAAGACACAGCAATCAGCCAGCACCTATGTTTTACCCTATCTGTCCACACTTGTGATGGGATTTTGTATTTTTCTGCCTGTGTACAGATCTATGTGGAAAGAATAACACAAAAGGCTCTTTTTTTTCCCCCTGCATGCTTAATTTTGTAACCGAATAAACTTTTACTATCCAAAAGTTGTCTTGATTATTTTACTTTTTTTTTTTTCTGAAAGCTGTACGCAAATTGCGGGTCTGACTGTGGTGCAAAAATAAGCAAGGCCAAGGTATAGACCAAAAGAAACAAAAAGATCCTGTTCTTCAAATGTCACTTCACTGCCAATTTTCAGTTGGCAAACTGTGCCATCAATTTTTGGAAACCAATTGTGCCAGAAATGGAAAAATGCCTCGTTGGGCCATGGAAAAGAAAAAGAAAAAGAATTCACCATCCACCACAGACCAATAAAGAGCATTTATGCTTAATAAAATCATGCTATCACACTTTAAAACCAAACTGCAGACAGACTTTCAAGTTCACAAAATGAACACTTTGGGGACTATGTGATCCACAGGTAGCCTATCACTACTTTAACTGTACATGACTACTTGATCCATGGTGTGTTGTGCTTCCTCTACAAGTCATTTCCTGCTTTCTGACCCACAATTCTGTAGCGGTTTGATACCATACAGAGGTGGTCTTCATTTTTAGGAGAATGCTTGTATGTAGGGCAATAACATAGATGAAGATATTTTCAACAGGAGGTTTACCCAAATTGGTGTCCTCCAGATGTGTTGGAGCTCCAGAATTGTCAATTAGCAATGTAACCCTCACAATATCTGCATATTTCCTCCTGTTGTATCTTCTTGTTTTTAATATGGTCATGTCCATGAAGTTAGTAAAACCTGATTACCCTAATTCACTTATATACAACACATAGACACATGTGCATGCATTAATCCTACAAGTAGAACATTATACTTGGGGACACTATGGCCTTCATTGGTTCAGCTGTTGTGATGTCACAGCAAGCCAGGAAACATGAACCAAATATAGATAACCTGAAAAGAATTATACTGTGTTAAAAATTCTACTTTCTGCAATGTATCCAAAATTAAAGAGTACTAGAAACCATTTGCACTAAAGGAATTCAAACAATGCTTCACAGGTTGGCTTAGATTTTTTTAAAGAAAGCAGCAGAGTGTTCTGGATGTATTAAAAATAAAATACATACGTAAAATGAAAAAGGAGGGGAAAACCTCCTAAGCTTTCAGCTCAGTGGATTGCTTGCACAGAAGCCTTGGAAAAACACACTATTATTTTATTATTTCAGTTTTAGACCAGAATTGTTAAATCAGAATATTGTATGAAGTTTCAAATGCTACTTGGCAGGCCAAAAAATCATCATCATCTCTTTTTCAATACTGATTGGCAAGGACAACAACAAAACAACTTCAGAGATTGATATGGAAAACTTTTGTTTTACTTTAAAAAAGAAATCCAAAGCCTTTCAAACTAAACCATAACAAATGTGATTAATCTACAGTGTAGATATGTGACAAGCAGAGATCCAAATGGTGTAATTTGATGCCTGATATTTAACACAAGTGTTTAGTCTGCTGCACATTTAATAACAGGAATTTGGCTTGTTCAGCTGGAGAGCTCCACTGAAGTTATATGTTAGACACGTTTCACTTCCATGCAATGATAACAAAATCAGAAGAATAAAAGTAATCGGAGTTCTTAAACAAAGGCTGCCCTATTGCACCACAGAGGGGTTCAAATCACTCTCACTTTCTTTTCCTTTATTATTTTGACAAAGTTTTTATTTCACCCTATTTGTCACATCATTACTCAAACAGATTAGACAATGTGTATCCCAGGCAGCTGTGTTTTTTTATATAGGTGCCCCAAAAAACATGAAGGGAGAATGATCACCAAAGTACATGTTGTTGAGAACAAGAGGACTCCTTCAAATATGCGATGACTGACTTACCGCACAACTAACCCCAGATATAATCAAACCTGTGTCCAACTTCAAGCAAGTTTACTTTTATCTATCATTTACAATATGGACATTCTGCACTAAGGTTACACCAATTCAGTTAGAGGGTGCACATAACAGGCATCTTCGTTTAAAATTTATGAGATATGCGATTTCTCCAGGTATGGGTGGATAAAACTGTTCCACAGCAAAAGAAACAAGTTTTCACTCATCAGTTTAAGCAATTACAACATGCACTGTCTGAAACAGCATCACCTGTGCACCACACACAATGATTAAGCTGTACGAAGGCTGTTGTATCCTTGTCATGTTGCTTCCTTAGAAAACGCATGCCAAAGTGCTACCTCAAAGCTAAAAAATTGGGAGTTTCCAAGGTTATGATACCATTTTCTTTATTGTGTGGACGGTGACAGGCCAATGCTTTTGAATTCAATTCCTTTAAGCTCAAATGGCATTTGATTCTGGACATTTTAGACCTAAACATTTGGAGGATACAGATTGCTATTTTGTTGTGGTAAGTTTCCATACAATTGCCTCCTACTTCTTCCAAAATATTGCTCCTACTACAGGGAGGTATACCAAAACTGTAGACTAATGGCTAAATTCAATATCTGGAGTTTTAGCTCTCAGCAGGTGGCAGAATCTGGGCCTGAAAGCTAAGAGAGTTGGACCTGATGAGTCCTGTATTTGGATATCAACAAGTCTGCAGGCTAATCTGGGCATTCAAAAAATAATCCCATAAGGCAATAACAAATTATTTCTGTAGTGTTGCAAAAATACTCTGCAAGGATATATCCATAAAGATACAAGAAAAAGCTCAAGCTCAATTCATCAGATACTTTATTTTTATTCTAGCAAAACCTTTGGCCAAAACTTCCTCCCACCTACTTCTGAATTGAACCACAGTCAAAGAATGGAATATCCTCATGTTTTAATCTATTCCATCAGTTTGTCATTTTGCACATTGGGGTTATTTTAATGATATATGGTTTTGTTTTCTTTTTTCTGTGTTGGTTGTTTATTTTGCTGTGGCCTGCCCTGAGTCCTGAGGTTTGAGTTGAGCAGCCATATAAATGCTTGTAATGAATGAATGAATGAATGAATGAATGAATGAATGAATGAATAAATAAATAAATAAATGG